ATCATATTTACTTGTGTGGGGCGTGTGGCATGTGGCTGAGCGTGTGAAGTGTGTGGGCATGTGTGTAGCATGTGGCTGGGTGTGTGGGGGTGTGCGTCTGGGGTGTGGGGGGACACAGGGAGCCAGACAGGGGAGTTGCATACCACTTGATGCAGAGTGCCAGCAGCACAGGGTGGTGAGTGGCAGTGCTCCATCCCCACCGCCCTCCTGTCGTTCTTGATGAGCAATTGGCTAGTATATAAATAATCTCTTCAGAGAAAAATGTTAATCAGTTTGTCTTTTAAAATGCTTATCTTTTAAATCTGTGAAAGATTTCCATTTAAAAAAGGAACATACAAGAGCAAAGTAAACTTTTGAACACAATGGAAAGTGATCCTTCTTAAGTACTTCAGTAAGTTTAGGGATACACTATTGCCCATCTACCCTGCTCTGTAGCTCTGCCACCCAACAAGGAAGTGTACTACTCTGCTCTGCCTGAAGTGCAGTTAGTAGCCAGACCACAGGGGAGTAGTGAGTGATAGATGCAAACTCTTAAACAGCACGTCTTTCACAGGCCTGTGCTAATGGGGCTAATTCAAACACTTCCAATTAAAGACAGTAGGGGATGGATAGGGAGAGAAGCAGGCACAAAGAAGGGTGACCAAGTCAGGAACTTAGGAGACATACACAGCCAAACACTTAATCAAGGGAATGGAGACATAGCTCTGATCCTGGGAGCTGTATGTTAGGAAGGATATTTTCTGTTGGGCAAAAGGCCCTTCTGTTTAGAAATTACATGGGGTTAATTTGTAGATCTTTACATCCATGTTTTAACATAATCAGTCATAAACACACTAAAAATATAAATCTAAAACATACTTATCAGTTATGTATCATTTAATGATGGGGCTGGAGGGAACCAAATAGATATAATGCAGCTTAAATAGTGGTCATGAAAATTATCTGTGTTTTTTCCAGGTACAAATGGTCCAAGCTATGTCAGTTGAGCTTTATGGAATTAAACAGGTCAGTCAACCTTAGCGCACATACAACAAGAGTAAAAGGACAAAGGAGAAGCTGACTGCATCCAGAAGTAAGCACAATATTTCATTTATTCTAAGTGAACTATGACATACTATTGCTTGTGATGGCGTTTTTCATATATTAGCTTGTGATGGTGTTTCACTATAAATGAGAACTGAATTGTTCCATGTGCACCTGGAAGTATTATTTCAAAGCATTTAAAGATAAAAATGCAATTTAGCAAAAAAAAACCCAATTTCTCCTTACACCACACTGTAAAGGTAAAGATTTGGAGACAGAAACCACCTGGATATTTATTTGATTTTAGTTATGGTTCAGGTCTACAAGGCTACAAACAAATGTCACATTTCTCCTGGGAGAAACCATTTTGCCCTAGGACAAATGCAATCATTCAGACATCCAGGTCTGTTGTCCCCAGATTGCATTGTTAAATCAGTAGTAGGAAAGTGACAGTATGTACAGCCACTCGCTAACTGTGATTGGAAGGGTGATATGTACACACCAATCCCAGGACTTTTGGGGACAAACACAGGTACAAGTTGTCCTGAGACAAATGCCGTGTTTGTTCCAAGCCTAAGACAAAACACTGGAAGGTGGTAACTGGATTGATTTAATTGCACTAGGCACTTATTGTTTCTCTTTAAACAACAATGATCTTAGCTCAATATTTCTATTGAACAATGTGAGTTAAAGTTCTAGCTAACAGAGTCTAGCTAATCTACACTGTCTTTAATTTTTGCATAAAATTATCATTAGCCTTAATTCTCTAAGTGAAATGAATAAGAAAGAGCAAAAATGTGTCTTTACTTCATGGTAAGAAATGCATTGGAAAGATTTTAAGCATGTTTACCTGTAGTAGTTGCCAGAACTCCTGAACTTAACAATAGTATCCAAGTGAAGACCATTGTCATGCCCGT